ATTTATGGATAAATCTATCCATTTCAAAACACCTACCCAGATCATTACTCAACCTTCAGAATGCACCCCTTCCTCTCTCCCAACATTCTCCACTCTAACTCCTACTGCACAGTCTTCTTTTATGCCTATACTCTATACCCTTATTGCTACTCTTCATCCTTATTATCTTCCCTCTCACAGAACTACTTCACTTCACACCATCCCATCTTCCTCCCACCCTCGTCTTACTGCCTCCACCTCTGCAAACCTTTTGAGTACTCTATTTGGCCCAGCCAAGTGGGATAAATTCTTTGTGATGCCCCCCACAGCCCCTTACTCTGAGAATACCCTTCTCTTTCAACAATATCTCCAAAAACAAGTAGGCAAAGTTTCCTTTCATTACCATTCTGATCGTTCATGCCTTGTTACAGTTATATCTGAATCCCAAGTTCACTATCTACCCTAACTGACCTCACTGGCAAACCCATTCCTGCCGAACCTCACCCTTCTTAATACCTGTACTGGAACTGTTTCTGTCTCCCCAGCTGATGGTCTTATCTACGATAAGAATTGGCCAGACTGTGAAAGTGACCTACTTGCCTGCCAGTGTTTCACTATTCCTTCCAGAGGTCAGCATAGGTCCCATACCAATATTGCCAAGATTAGCTTCTGGAGACACGACCTCCCCCATTAAGTGTATACTGGTGGATTGTCTTATCATGTTCGACCATACTGACCCTTTCCTCGTGGATGTCAGAAATGTTGGCGTTTTGGCCACCCAGCCAAACACTGTCGCTCCACAGCCCGCTGCCCTCTATGTACCCAATCTGCTCAGTCACATACATGTGCCAATTGTGGTGGCTCCCATAATGTATTTTATAGGAGTTGCCCTGCCTATAAGCTTGAATGTGAGGTAGCAGTTCTCAGATTTAAACTAACCCTTGCTCTACATAAGGCCAGACAGGAAACAAGATGACGAGGCTTTTCTCTTTTTACTTATTCCAAAACTGTCCTTCACTCTACTCCTCTCACATCTTCTTAAGATGTCTCAGCATCTCCCTCAGTCTCTTCTACCTACCTTGAACCATCCAACCTCTACTCCCCCTCTCTCCCATTCAAATTCCTTTTCAAGTATAAATCCAGATACTTCAATCTCTAACACTTCTCCGATACCTACCCTACCTCCTTCTCAATTTACTTGTCGTACCAGGCAACCCAAATGTTCCACTCCACCTTCTCTTACCCCATCCTCTCCTACACCTTCCTCTTCTTCTCCTCCTCCTCACAAGAGAAGTTTGCTTCTTAGACCTCCCCACTTACCTTGCCTGCAGAAACTCTTGAAGACATCCAAAACTTCCTAAAGATGACCCAAGGAAATACTCCAATCTCTCATCTACCCTCCAATCCCTCTGTTCCTACTCCCTCTACATATACAGTATTTGGTGATATCCATTCTCCTCCTCAAGTTCCCTCAACCTCCCTTCCTCTTACACTCTCCCAACACAGTCCATCCCCTCTATCACTCCCACCTGAATGCTCACGTGAATCCCTTCTGTCAAACAGTGTTCTTCTCCAGGCCTCTCCCCTCCTGACACTCTTCCTGATATTTTGCTATCTTCCCCAGTTCCCATTTTCTCATCTCCCAGATTCTTCTCCTTCAACAGCCACCTCTGCTTTTCCTTGAACAATCCCTATTCCTTCCCCAGTCACAGATGCTCTGCAATTTACTCACTTGGCCTACTCCCATAACCCTTCCCTTTTTACTAATTTCTGCTCTAATACATTTGCTCCCCTCTTTTTCCTTTTCCCTACATATGGTAGGGAAAAGGAAAAAGAGGGGAGCAAATGTAATATAACGCTCTCTAATCTTTGACATCTAACACATATTACCCTAATCTTTAACTCTTCTTTACCCCCTTTGCCAAAATACTTTACCATAGCACTATATGACCTTCGATGACTGGCACATTTCTTTTTGTTCCAACCATTACTTCATTACTCCATTGTTGAGCTGATTTTGTTCAACCAGTTTCAGAGCATCCATTGTGTCATTAACAGATTCCCCTACCATCTACAAACAATCAGATTTAACAGACTTGATTTGAAGAATGCAAAACAGTACTGTATATACCCCCAAAGGACACAGAACTGAAAAAGTAAAGAACTATGAAAGAAACTTGAATACATACTAGAACCAGATATACTCATAGCAGAACAACTGGATTCCCTACAGGATTAAAGAAGGAAATGCTGGATCAAAACAATATAAATTATAGAAATCCATGCATAAAACAAATGAGTACCAAGGAAAGTATGCTCCTACTGATACAACCACTAAAGCCAGACAAATAGTAGTTTGCTTAGGCTAAGACAGACATAATCTACAAAGGAAAGTAATCAACAATATGTAAACAAGCAAAACTACTCGTATCCCTCCTTTGCTGCCCCTTCAGACTTCTTGAAAGTCTTACTCACAATTCTCTCATCTATCCTGGAATCACACATTTCCCTGGAAGAGGCAAGCTTTAGAACAAAAAGAGACACTGGAACAAGTCCTAGCCATAATATCATGGATAGAAAGTGGTTTTGAACAAATTCTCAAACTGGCCAGATCAAATGGACCATGGAACCATGACAGGTAGATAGTACTTTCATGTCTGCTTTGGAGAAAGTACCAGGAAAACAAAATAACAAAAAGGAGTCCCACAAGGATCAGTCCTGCCTCTAACGATCTTCGCTGTATCCACAGGAGACATCCAAGATACAACTTCCATCAAAGTTTGATATGTTGAGTGACTGCAATAGCATATCAGCACCTGAGTCTAAAAATACAGAAACATCCCACAAAAAAGACGCAAATAATAATTTATTTCTTTAACAAATGGTACTTCCAAACATATGGAAAATTGTACCAAAGCTTTTTCACCTGAACAGATAAACCAAACAAAAAATAAGCATCACAGTAAACAACAGCTCTCAGCAGAATGAAACCCAAACATTTAGACAGAAGCCTCACCTTAGAAAATACACCACAAAAAGTGAAAACCAGAAACCTAATCAGGAAACATGCTGTACTAGTTGGGCATCCATCTTACAAACCTCAGCCCTGGCCCTATGTAACAGTCCACTAAAATCACAGAAACTCCTTCCGCATCTGTGCAAGGGTAGATGTTAGCAATGAGGCATCACAGCAGGTTGATTAGGAGGAGAACCTTCCAAGAGGATCTCCTCCGCTCAGAAGGTTCTCTTCCCTGATTGATGATCCAACGACATCTCTCCTGGGCTTTGACACCTTTACAAGGAAAGAACATGGCAAATTGAATAAGATCAGATCATGGAAGAACAGCAGCTAACATGCACTGCTGGAGACTGAAACACTCATTCCTGTGTCATGCACGCCAGTGTTGTCCAAACTGGGGTCCATATACCCCTGAGGGTACGTAACATAGCTAGTAAGGGTGGGGTAGGGTGGTGGGGGGGTATGTAACAGCACAAGAAGGTAATAAAGGGTGCAATAGGCAAAAATGTTTGGACAACACTGATACAAGCCATACAGAACCTTTAGACTTAGACCATCTTGTGTTACACTGCTTTGTAACAAATACCTGACAGCTTTGCAACAGCCCATGAAGGTCCACTAGTTATGGACGTGTATCCTGATAATACTATACCATGGAGCTGATTATTTTTTATTACAGATGTTAATAGTCTCTATAGAACCTGTCTTAAAAAAGTGCTGCAATAACATTACCACTTATTCAGTATATCATGTTTAAAATGATTGAAATTTACTCTGCTAGAAGTCTGAACCTATGACAACAGCCTCGTCAGAATCCATAAGAAGGGAAGAGAATCCACTTTTACATGAATGCATTTTTCCTCACCTTTTGATCTCTATGGTATGCAATCCTACCTATTTAAGATGAGATCCATTTCAATCTTCTAACAGTATGTTACATGAAAATTCCTAAGAAGCCAAACTGTGATGCCTGGAGATACCTAAAAATCTTATTTCCTTATTTTGCACTTTCCTATGTTTATTTCTGAGTAAAAGGAAAAAAAAGAGAAAGAAAAAAAATTATATCTCATACCTTCTTAATGCAAAATCATAACTGTAACCGTAATAGAATTATCCTGAGAAATTCCCATATACAGCATGGTGTTGAAATTCTTGCTTGTCAGCAAAATTTAACTCATAATTTTTGCCTTTTCTTTTCATATATGCATTTATTTTTCATATCAATATAAAGTGCAATCTTTACCCTTCAAAATAAGACCAAACTTGGCTTATTGAAATAAACACTAAGCCTGCAATAAGTACTTGTATGAAAAACTGCCTAATCTATCCTTACAAATCATAAAACCAAAATCTAAACTGCATCTCTCATAGTTTTTTTCTTGAAGAAGTCATTTACATTACAAATTTTGGTATATTTTCGTTACTGGCTAATTTATATTCAATAATGATTTTTGCTTTCTAATGTTCATATTTTTTTCCTGTGAACATGAAGTGCAATCCTTTCCCTTCAAAATAAGCTCAAATCAACTTCAACTATAATAGATATACTTTACTATAAATGTCAAAAAAAAAAGAAGGAAGGAGAGAAAGAAAAGTTTTGAAATTTTATATTACCATTTCAGCATTTTCTACTTTTATCAACATAAAGCGCAATCCAACCTCTCTATAATGCAGCTTGATTCAATTTTCTACAATAAAGGAGGAGGTTGCTACAGACGCTAGAAAAACTGTATTTAATAGCATTTGGTTGCAATCTAAAGTAGAAAAACCAGAAAGACATTGATGATTTCTTGATGAACTGTTAAAGTTCCCGGTGAAAATGACAATTAGTTTGATGGTTGCCAAGAAACTAATTAGCATATATAGATTTATCATTATTATTATTACTTCACACTGTTACCCTCATCATTATTCACGGTAATCAACAAAACTTCTATGAACTCTGATATTCCTTTTCATACAGATATTCACCGTGAATTGGAATACAATAAGATTTGCAACATTGTCATTTAATGTTTTATTTCTGTACACTTTAATACATTCACAGATCAAAACTGTAAATGATCCAACTTTTCTTTACTCACAGTTAAAAATCTAATGCAGTGGTTGATTATAAACATAATATCCACATGATTAAAATCTTTCTTGAAAAATATTTAAATCATAATTTTTGCTATGTTTCAAATTGTACTACGCAAAACAATTTCAATTTTATATCTTTACTGACCATACAATTACAGGAGATTAACCTGTTTTTTCCATCCTTCCAACATGTCCAGTGTAACAGCATTACCCCCACACACTACAAAGACAATTGGTCCTTCATCGGGAAGAGTGTTGTTTGAAATGAGCTCTTTGATTATTCCTGAATACCCAGCTGCAAGTGCAGCTCCACAAGAAGGTTCTACCAACATCCGCTGCTCATCTGCAAGAGTGATGGACAAAGATGAGATAATTGATCAAATCTATTGTTTCTTTTAGTGAATTTCTGACATAGTTCATAACACTGTTAGTTTAATACAATATGTTCATTCTGTCTGCATCATCCAGTAATAAGTTTCAACTTAAATGTCTTCGTAAATTTCTTGTTCAGCATTATCAGCTTTATCATGATTTAGTATGAATCACAACATACGTCACATCAACACAACAGGAACTCTAGTATCTACAAAGACTCACTTTATTTAATATGAAAATACTAATGGCAAATACTTAAAACTTACCTGCAAATCTTGAACATGCTTCAACCGCTTCTTTATCACTGATAACATGAGATGTCACTCTCAGGCCTGGCATAAGATCAAATATACCCTCAGTCACCATCAATGCACCAAGAGTCTTGGCAATGCTACAAGGGAAAAAATGTGCATTAAAAAAAAGAAAGAAAGAAAAAATACTGTCACACACACACATGCACATATGCACCCATGTGGAAATATCTACTATGTGCAGTTTGTGAACTGTGGTTATACAACTATGTAATTATAATAGAATACAAATACATACTACATTAAAACATGATATTTGTGTTGCACTATCTTACATGACCTAAAATGCAGCATCCTATGTAAAGG